GCATTGAGAAAAGGGGGAAATTCTATTGAAAATCTGAGTTCTCTACACACTGCACTGGTCTCTGAGCTGTCGTTGCTGACATCTAAGGTTTCTACAAACGATATTTGAGGCCTGGGACCTAGCTCAATGGTAGAGTGCTTGCCTAGCATGCATGAAGCCCTGGATTCCATCCCCAGCACTGCAAATATTAAAAAAAAAAAAAAGAAGAAGAAGAAGAAGAAAAAAAAACCACATATTTTTTAATTAGAACTAAAGTGGGGGGTGGCTCTAAAGCCTCACAGGAAATATTTTTAAAAGAAATCCTTCATCCTTTCTGATGTTATTTTTAAAAGGAAGTATATATCCAAAAAGGACTGAAAAAAAAAGTCTGGAAATCAGGTTTCTGAGGCCTAATCCAACACTCATGTGACCATGCCTCAATCACAACCCAATAGGAGCCACCTCCCTGGCTGCTATGATCTGCATGGGACAAAGGGTATACTACTAGGGCAAGATAGGCCAGCAGGTCTCCAATATCCCTTTAGTTCCAACTTCCTATGACCCTATAACATATTTAAACCAGGTTTGATAGATTGGATTGTTTATTGCATGCTAAAAAAAGACACCCATTTATAGAGGGTCAGAGGGCTCTTGAAATATTCTGTGAAGCTCTGCATTAAGTTTGACATTACAAAGCTTAAGAGTGAATCTGAACTAGGAGTTTTCAGAGTTTTATTTTCATTTCTATAGAAAAGAAGAAAAATAAGCTGCTTCTAGAAAATATCAAGCCAACAAAAAAAATTCTCCCAGCACCAACATTCAACTTAATCCATCTCTACTTCTGCCAGATAACAGGACAGGAAAAGCATCTCACAGAAGTTTAAAAGAGGAAATATTATTTTGACTTACTGGCAGCCACAGTGAAATAATACTTTAACATACTTAAGAATTTACAAATGTGTGGTTACAAGTAACAACCAAATCCGAGAAAAAAAAAAAAGTCACTGTTTTAACCAGCAACTTACAATGAAAACACAGTAGCTAGGCGCCTGTAATCCTAGCAGCTTGGGAGGCTGAGGCAGGAGGATCACAAGTTAAGAAAGCCAGCCTCAGCAATTTAGTAAGGCTCTAAGCAATTTTTCGAGACCCTGCCTCAAAATTAAAAAAGAAACAAAACAAAACAACAGTTGGGCATGTGACTCAGTAATTAAGCACCCTGGGTTCAAAACCTGGTACCAAAACAAAAAAAAAGAAAAGAAAGAAAACACAGTATATGTGTCAAAATGAAATATAATCACACTTTAAAACCTTATTCATCTAAGGTTTAATATTTATAATATTGCGCTTCACATATATTTCCTTTGTTTTCCTAATCCCCCCAAAATCCCATTTTAGAGAATACAAACCAAATTACTTATAAGATCAAGTCATCGCTGGGTGCAATGGTACATGCCTATAATCCCAGCAATTCAGGAGGCTGAAGCAGGAGGAGCACAAGTTTGAGGCCAACCTTAGAATGGAGCAAGACCCTGTCTCAAAATAAAAAATAAAAAGGGCTGTGAAGTAACTCAGCAATAGAGCTCCCCTGTGCTTGATTCCAAGTACAATATAGGCCTCCCCCACCCCCATAAAAAAAAAAAAAAGAACAAGTCTGTATGCTCACTTGTGGTAAAATCAAAATAAAGATTTGGGCCTCCTCCTTTTTCTTTAGCTATTCTAATTTAGGATAATGTCTGACTTACTAGCACTGATGTAAATCCTAATGAAAAAAATCCTGACATGAAGACTGAATTATGAGAAATATCTAAAAGTACAAGTAAGAAAGATATGCTACTTAATCGTTTTTTAAAAGCAGTAAAATTCAGGGCTGGGTGTAGCTTATTGGTATAGCACTTGCCTAGCATGAATGAGGTGCTGGGTTTGATTCCCCAGCACTGCAAAAATAAGCAAAAACAAAACCTAAAGCAGTCACATTCAGGAAAAGTTACAAGAAAAGGCCTCTGCTCCTGAAAATGTTATAACATCCATGAAAACAAATTCTGAGCCAGGTATGGTGGTGCATACCTGTAACCCCTGCAATTTGAAAGGCTGAGGCATGAGGATCACCAGTTTGAGGCCAGCCTCAGCAATTTCGCAAGACCCTCAGGAACACAGCAAGACCCTGCCTCAAAATTTAAAAAATAAAATGGACTGAGGATGTAGCTCAGTGGTAAAGCACCCCTGGGTTCAATCCCCAGTTTAAAAAAAAGACCCTCCTTCATAAATGGGCAGTGGAACTGCCATCAGCATTTAGCCCACATGCTTCTTTCTGGAAAGCAGCCCTGTGTAAAGTCTGACATCATCAACAAGAGAGTTTTGACTTGTTACTTAAGGGCAACTTGAAGCCTGTGTGTGAACAGTGTTCATGTGTGTGTGCCTATGTGTGGCTATACACATATGTGTACGGGCATATACGTATCCTTCTCTTTTCAGGCCAGAAGTTTCTACCCATACATCAGTTGAAAATTTGTGTCCCAGTCTGGACACTGAGGGAAAATGCAGGTGTGTGCAAGAAAGAGGGTCCTAGCCCTCAAGAAAGTTATTTATTTGGGGGAGATTATGCATATTCACATGAAAAGTTCCCAGTACCAGTAAATGGAAGGTGATCATATTTTTATTAGTAATATGAAGGTGCTATGATTTGCATATTATTTGTTTGAATCACAACACCTTAGTCCAAACTGGTAAAAATAAATTTAAAAATCCATGCCACATATTTCAATTATGTTAAAATATGAATAGGGCTGGGGTTATAGCTCAGTGGTTGAGCACTTGCCTAGCACACGTGAGGACCTGGGTTTGATCCTCAGCACCATATAAAATTAGATAAATAAAATAAAGATATTGTGTCCATCTACAACTAAAAAAATTTAAAAATACAATGAATATGCAATAAATAACAGAATGTACTAAGTATGAAAAAAAGCAACATATAAATAAGGGGGGGAAGTAGAGAGAATGATGGAATGAGGTTTTTTTCCCCCAGTACTGGGGGTTGAACCCAGGTCCTTGCACACGCTGGGCAAGCTCTCTCTACCACTTAGCTACATCCCCAGCCCTGGAGTGAGATTTTGAATGGCCTAAATATCAGCTAAACTCAGGAAAGAAAATTGGGGGGGGGGGGACAGCTTTGCTATCATTACATTAGCAATGACAATGAAAAAGAAACGGGGTTCCTCAAGGCTTTGTCAGAACCTACCAGGTGTCAAAACCCCAGCTAATTGCAGTAGCAGCACACCTGAAATTCCTGTGGCTGAGGCAGGACTGCAGGTTCAGGGCCAGCCCCAACAACTCAATGAAACACTATCTCAAAATAAAAAATAATAATAATTTAAAAAAAAAACATAGTAGCTCAGGGGTAGAGGGCTCCTAGGTTCAGTTTCCAGTACACAAAAATAAACAAAACTGCAGGGCTAGGTTTTGGTTTTGGAGATCCAGGTTTTAGCTGCAGCTCCCTCTCTTGCCCTGGGTTTCTACCCATAATAGTCAAAAGTCTGAATGAGCTGATGGCTAATGTTGCTTTAATGACCATTCCTGGTAAGCGCCCCCTCCCCCCTTTTTTTATAAATACACTTAGGTTCTCTGTTCTATCTACCATTTCCCAATCTTTCTCTCCTCCACTCCCAATAATTATAATGTGCACAATAAATTATTCATAAATCTATGACTTTTAATTTTTTGTTTCTAAATGACTTCTTTTTATCAACTGGTTGAAAAGGCAAAATTCTAGCTCATATTGTTAAAATTTAGCACTAAATGATCACCTTGCACATTATCTAGTACTAAAATTCTAGTCAGATTAATATGGTATATTACTCAATAGTCTTACAAAAAAGAGTTTTACCGTAACTGATTTACAATGGTGAAGATCAGGTCAAATAATTATGTATTCATTGCTTCTAGCTAGCTTAAAACTGACTTAGCTACTCAGCAACTAAGAGTACAGTAATGTTCCTTTTTTAATGATGACTTTGGTATCAAAAGGCTACATAAATATACTTTCATCTGGTGAGTCTCATTAAACTCATGAGGTCTGGGGGGAAAGTTAAGAGTAGAAGATGACAAATATGGGTTATAATATTGATAATATCAACTATTTCTATTTATCATTTTTATGATGGGAATATTCTTGTTTGGACATCTGAATGTTAGAACAATTATCACCTAGTAACAGCAATGAATTCTAATATTATCCAACAAAACGCTAAACAATACAAGCTCTCTTCATTCTTAAATACTTTCTTGTAGTCATTTCAGTAAAGAGATAAAGAAACCCAAAATAGAAAAGGGCGAACATACTCAAGCTTCCATGAAGCGATACGATAAGGTAAATAATAGGCATAAAAATAAAGCAGAGGATAGATAAATATGGAAAAGGTTCTCAAATAATATTCACACTTGTATCCAGCTCCATTATACAGCTTAAATTTTGGCCAAAATTTTAAAGTATTTGTTAAACAGTTCCTGCATGTGACATATGTTTCCAGGATACTTCTGACATTGATACAAGAAATTATAAAACATTTAGAAATGAAAATGTTAGTCTCAAAAAATAACACTACAAGTTCCAAGCTTCTTCAGAATTCGTTAAGATGGAGAAACATTTGAAAAATAGTACCTTTCTGTTTCAAAGTGTCCAAATAATGTACTTAAAACACACACACACACACACACACACACACACACACACAAAACAGAACTATGTAATTGTTCAAGGCAAGGAAGAGACAAATCAAAACCAAATAAATTCCTAAAGTTTGCTCTAGGATCATTGCTCTTCCTTTGCAGCCTCAATCCTATTTACTCCGTAATAAGTAAACTGTTTCATCCCTTCAGCTGGGAAGGATAATTTTTATCCTACCAAGATGATGCCAATGCCCCTGCAGTGCTCACCCAGCAAGAAACACATAAATATGAAGCAGCGTCAACTCTTTACACTTGGTTATCAAACCAAGTGTCTGCAAGAATTGATTTGCAATGCATTAATTCAGGAACTCGGCAGAGAGGCTCCTACTATATCTAGCTGATCTAAACTTGAGCTCATGATAACACTGCACAAAGCTATGATAGATGAAAGTGATAGGTAATGCCAACAGAACAATCCCACTGACAACACAAACTCCTCCAAGAATTCTTCCAGGCACTGTGATAGGATACATATCTCCATAGCCAACTGTAGTCATAGAGATAATCACCCACCAGCAGGCAGCGGGGATGCTGGCAAAGTCCTTGTTGGATGTTTCCAGGTCCAACCCATGTTCAAGAAGCTGAGAAAGTGCACTAAAGATTGCCATGGCAACACAAATGAAGACAAGTAACATAACCATCTCTCGGTAACATCGCTTGAGAGTCAAACCAAGTGTCTGAAGACCAATGAAGTGACGGGCCAGCTTAATCACCCAAAAAATCCTCATCATTCTGAGCACCCTCAAGGTGACTCCAGCCCTTTGCAGCTGAGAGTTCTCCCCTGTAAATACTGTCATTAGCACGGAGATGTAATATGGCGTGATTGCCAGTAAGTCAATGATGTTCAGGGGTCTCTTGACAAACTCACACTTGTTTCTGGAGACGATGAACCTCACGATGCACTCTGCAGTGAACCACCCTATGCAGATAGCTTCAATTATCCTGTCGAGAGAACAAAGGAAGAATTGATCATTTTATTTTTAAGCATTTTAATAGCTCTTGGATTTCTTCAGATAGTACTACACTGACATACTAATTCAGTTACTTTTCCAGAAAACATGAAGAACAGACAGCATTACCAACATCATCAGACCCACCAGGACGTAACAGAAGGACAAACAGCACAGTTCTCATGAAAACTGAACTTGATAAAGTTCTTATTTATATTAATGTTATATGTAAATACAGCATTTAAATGATGGCTTTTTACTTGCCTTTAATACCTAAAAACCTCTCGTTTCGTGGTTTGAAATTAAACTGAGCTGGCCACAGCGTAAAATGTCACTTACTCTCTGGGGACAGCAGTTCTTAACTGCGGTATCAGTTATGAGGCAGGTCAGAATGGTGTTGTTCCTACCCACAGTGGACATGCTCGCTGTCTTTTGATTATTTCTCTCTTGATAGATTAGAGCAAGTTCAAGATCATGTCCTAAAATGCCCCTCTTCCTCTCCCTCCAATAGTCTTATGCGTGCCCAAGTACCCTCAGCAGGGGAGTGTCTGCCCACAGTGCTCAGCTCAGCTCAGTAGGAAAGGGCTGAGGACTCCCACACTGGGGCAAACCACCATCAGGAATTCCCCAAAGACCACAACTACTTTTTTTTTTCCTAAATTATTTTTATGTAGCATATGTTTTAAAAATATAAGTCCACATTTTGCCTAGAGCCATATTTACCAACCTTTCCACATCACTGCACACATTGAAAATAATTAATATTTACACAGCCTACCGGAGCCAAAGGGTAGAATTCTTTAAGCAGAAACCACCATCCTGAGGGCTTTGGCCACCCTGGTCCTGACCCTGTATGCTCTAAGCCTGAGGAAATCAAATCTCAGCCTGTCAGTTAGGAAGCTCTGGCATGAAGAAAGAGGTAATTCAGGAGCAATTGTAAATTAATTAAAAATTTTTAATTGAAAATTAAATTATTACTAGCATATCATCATTCATTTTTTCCACATAATTCTTTCTTACCTAGACTTAAACACCAGAAGTCCAATGAAAAGAGAGAGAGAGAAAAAAAAAAAAAAAAAAAATCAGAGTAAGTAGAATAAGTCTAGGTATGGCAATACACTGAAAAGAATTACTCTAGTGCATTCTACAGAACCCAGACTGTACTGGACGTTACTCATGGAAATGAGCAAACACAACTAACCAGGTTTCCTTATCGCAGGGCTTTGCAGTGCCATAAAACTTAACTTCGTTTATTTATTAACTTTTCCTTGTTTTTTGCACAGATATTCACATTCATATTCACATTATCGGTTTCTTAAGAATTCTTCCAGGGACTGGGGTTGTAGCTCAGTGGTAGAGCACTTGCCTAGCATGTGCAAGATACTGGATTTGATCCTCAGCACCATGTGAAAATAAATAAACAATCAAATAAATGAAATAAAGGTACTGTGTCCATCTACAATGTAAAAAAAAAATACTTCCAGCATTATAATAAAATTGAGTGTGGAGGGTGGGGGGGATTGTTTCACTTAAGTATTGAATAGAGAGTTTCCTCATTTCTTAAATATGATAACAGTATTCTATTGAATGTTTGTGTTGTGATTTATTTAACAGGCTCACTTGATAAACAGTTATGTAGTTTTTTTTTTTAAAGAGAGAGAGAGAGAGAGAATTTTTTTAATATTTATTTTTTAGTTCTCGGCGGACACAACATCTTTGTTGGTATGTGGTGCTGAGGATCGAACCCGGGCCGCACGCATGCCAGGCGAGCGCACTACCGCTTGAGCCACATCCCCAGCCCCAATTATATAGTTTTTAATCTCTGCGTACCAAAAACAATGGTACAATGAATATTCTTGTTTTTACATCATTTCATACATAAATTCCAGACTTTGAATAATGTACTGGGTCGAAGGAGATAATTTTGATAGATCTTGCCAAACTACCCCCACAGATGTTATATACTAAACTGCCCTCCTACCCACAAGACAGGTCAGACTTTATTTCCCACAACCTCACCAATGGAAAGTATTATTGAATTTGGTGATCTCTGCCACTCTTACAGATGAAAAATGCTATTGTATGTACCAAAGTAAATTAGTTCACTGTTGTTGTTATTTAAAAAAAAATACCCACAAGCTCGGCAGTTTAAAACAACAGAAATTTACTTTCTTACAGAAGCTGGAGTCCAGAAATACAAAATCAGTATCACTGGACTGAAATCAAGATGGCAGCTACGCCATATCTTCTTTGGAAGTTCTGGGAATTCACTCTTTACCCCTTCCAGCTTCTGGTGGCTGAAGGCATTCCTTGGCTTGGAACCACATCACTCCACTCTTTGTCACCATGGTCCCACTCTCCCCTCCTCTTCTTCTCTGTCACATCTCCGCCACCTCCTCCTTTTAAGGATACAAGCTATGATGGCACTAGTTACCGACCAGGATAATCCAGGATAACCCCAACTTCTGAAGATTAATCACATCTCTATATAATTCCTTTAGCCAAGGAGGAGTTGTGCTCCATTTGTGTCCCATGTGTCAAAATGCATTCTATAGTCATGTATAACTAATTAGAACAAATTTTAAAATAAAATAAAATTTTAAAAAAATCCTTTTGCCATATAAAGTAACACTCACCAGTTCCAGGGAATTAGGTCCTTCTTATCTTTTTGGTGGTGACGGACTAGCTAACCACACAAAGTAACCAGGAGGATGCATGCCACAGCCCAGATCATCTAACATCCTTTCTGGTAATGACGTCACAGCTGGCCCCACAATTCCTCTATCATGTTTACTGTGTGCTGCTCTGCTCATGGACTCTGTGGTTGGCAGTAGCTTCCCTGTCCTCACCAGGCTAACAAGAAAGGTCATTGCCACAATGGCCTTCATGAATATGGACGCTTAGAAAACTGGGAGAGTCATAAAACTTGGTAGACCTAAAAAACGGGAAGCTACAATTTTCCAAATTACAGTTTTAACAAGTGTTAATACCTTGCCTCACTTCTCCTGGTAAAGCTCGAATATTCCACGTATTACCCATGTTTCTAAATCCCTTGCAACCCAGTATGGTCATATGACCAGTTCTGACCAATGGGCAGTGAGCAAAATGACTTAGCATTTCTGGGCAGATGCATAGAAGAGTGGGTGTGAGTTCTTTGTCTTGCCATGGCAACCTGGAAGGCACTTATGCTACATGGCTGGCTGTAAGATGATGGGGTTCCTATCAGCCAAAGTCCATGAGTGACTGTGCAGAACAGAGCAAAGATACTTTCCACCCAATCCAGATTGGACACAATATGTGAGCAAAAGGTAAATCTTTGTTGTGTTAAGCCACGGAGACTCCTAAATTGCTTGCTACTCTAGGTGATAAACTGGTAACTACAGAGAGTAGAAAATTGTGTGCTCAGAAGGGACCACAGAAGCACACTTTACTGCAAGAAGACCATTCCCAATCTGCAAATCTAAAGTCTAAAATGTTGCAAAATCCAAAACTTTTTGAGCATTGACATGACACTATAAGTGAAAGATTCCACACTTGATGTCATGAAGCAGTCAAGAAACAGGCACACTACAAATACTGTATAAAATAACCTTCAGGTTATGTGCATAAGGTGTATATGAAACATAAATGAATTGTTTTTTCAGGTCTTGGATCCCATTCCCAAGAGATCTTATTATGTGTGTACAAATATTCCAAAAACTAAAATCTGAAATACTTCTGGCCCAAAGCATTTCAGATAAATAGTCAATAATAATAATAGCTGTCTTAGGCTAGCTTGTGATAAAATGTACCAGCTCTCTGGCTAACATACTCTTCTCTAGCCAACATGAGCAAGGAGGGGCACTGGCCTTGATGTCAAGAGGCCCTGTGTTCTTTCCCCTCTAATGGATGAGCTTTACCCATCAAGTGGCATAGTTGTGTGGGTCCTACCAGCTCTAAAATCCTAAGATTCTATTAATTACATAAGAGTAAAATTTTTTAATTGTACCAAAAATACCAGAACGCTTTCTAATTATTTCCACCAGCAGTCAAAGTTGTTCAGATTAAAAAGGAAGAAATTCAAATGATGTGGAATAATCTCTCAGAAAGGAAATTTCAAAGAAGCACATCTTTAATGAAGTCCTAGGTGTTCCTCCTGCCCATCCCTCAAGTCAGATGCAGTGTCTTCAGAATTCACACCAAAGGGATGAATCAGTGAGAAACCCCAGGCATCGCTTCCACCTAGGATTATGCCAAGGCAGTCTCCAAAAACAAACACCACTCAGCCTGCCAAACTCCCCATGTTTCCAAATGGCTCTCTTGCCAGTGCCACCAACGACTGCTGAAAGTGAGTACTGTTTACTGAGCACTGCAGAAACAATGGGGTACTCCTGAAGGTTACTTCTACAGAACACCAACAGGAAAAAAGAACTGAAGAACATAACAAGGAACACCATATTCCTTGGAAGTGCAGTCTGCTTGCTTTTGCAGTCCAAACATACAGAAGTTCCTGAATGCATGACTAATAAAAATGTTGACAATTGGGACTGGGAGTATAGCTCAGTTGGTAGAGTGCTTGTCTTGTAAGCCCAAGGCCCCGGGTTCAATCCCCAGCACTGAAAAAAGAAAAAAAAATGTTGACAACTTACTGCAACCTCTCAGTTGGGCACTAGGCGAAGCACTGTATAGACATCATTACACTGAATCCTTTTCAAGAATTCTCTGAGCCAGGTACAATGGCACACCACCTGTAATCCCAGCAACTTGGGAGACAAAGGCAGGAGGATCTCAAATTTAAGGCCAGCCTCAGCAACTTAGTGAGACCCTGTCCCAGAATAAAAAAATAAGAAGGGACTGGGGATGTAGCTCAGTGGTAAAGCATCTTTGGGTTCAATCTCCAATGCCAAAAATAATTAATAATAATAATAATTTGTGAAGTGTGCATTCCCCTAATATCTCCATGCTACAGATAACAAAACTGAGACTGACAGGTTAACCATCTTTTTCTGGCAC